AGGTGAGCGCCGTAAACAACAGCATACTTACCTGACGCGAGAGGCACCTTGATCAACTAGGAGGTCCTCTCAGGATGAGGCCCTTTCATTGCACTTCGACTGGGTTGACTCCTGCGATTACCCCTAATGTGGGTAACTCAATCGTATAATTTCTGGTAGTGGGGACCTGCGTTCGCGACCCTCCCCTTCAACATATATATTCATGTATAAATGTATAAAGCCGTGTTTTTTTTTTCTAACACTGCCGTGTGTCGATTGTTTTTGTATAGAATCAGATGTCAAACATATCATTTATCACAGAAGACACTGTATATATATATTCTCTGTGTCGAAATTTCCATCTCGTGTTCATATTATATGGTAAGTGAAGCTATACGTTTATATTTTGTAAGCACTTCGAGTCTTTGCACACTATTAAATTAATTCGCTGTATAAAGTAACTTGTTTGCCGACGGAATTTCAATCCACCGCATGTATATTCCAAGTGCCGATTAACTGGCTCGTGTGGCACTTAAACGCATGTGTTTTGCTGGTCAAACTTATAGAATACCAAGTAACTATTCGAACATCGCATTATTTCACAGTGCGTGACCCGAAACCTTTCTGGGTCACAATGCAATTTGCGAGTGAAAGAAGCTTGACGCATTCATGAATCTTTAAAGAGTGCGAAAGCCAATACGTTCGCAACTCTCGTCTCGCGGTCGATGCCACACAGCTGCCGTGCCCCTCTCCACGATGACACGTGCGTGCACAAGAGAACTGCGAGAGTCGCGGTGGGCGATCACGACGGACTTGCCATGCTCGTGAGACGAGTAATCAAGTGCTTGTCAACGTCATAATCGCTCACAAGCAAGCTCCTTCCCACCGCGTTTTCGTAGCACAAGTGTTTGGTAGAAATATGTGGGCCAAATGCCGAAGAAGGCATCGCTTCTCGGCCTTTTGGCTAAGATTTGGTTGTGCTTACCATTGTGGTTTTGGACTTTCATTCCAAAGTTATCAAAAGCCTATTTTCGTTTGTTGGTTGCTCCTGTTTGCTGGTCCTGTACCTGTTTGTTGGTCCTGCCTTGGTCCTGGTTCTATCTTTCTGTCTTGGTCTTGCCTTACTCCATCTGTGGTTGGACATGCACCATTGTCCCTCTGGGTGGCCTTGTCTCATGGTCGTGGTGACATTGTTCTTTTGCCTGGATCTCTACTGTACGCAAGTTTATTCTTTTTTGTGTGTGTGGGTTAGATATGTTCTGGTAGTTCCTGTCGAGGGGCCCTATAGGGGGTAACTCAAGGGAGGGGTCTTCCTTTTCTTTGCGTTTTTGTGTGGTCGTGGGGAGGTGCGTGACTGACCCCTGATAACCCGGTTCGTGTGTTCTGAGGTCTCATCCTCTTATTCTTTACGTTTGTTGAACAGGAATTTTCTTCTGTTCTACGTTAAGTTTGTTTTGCGCGGTATTGACAATGCACATTCCTTACGCAAATCGTACAGTAGATATCGATTTACCTTTTGTTGTGGGCCAAGCTCGTGTTACTGTTAAAAATGTTATGGACGAATTTCTTCGCCAAATGTCTGACAATTTTGGTACACTTTTGGAGGCGTTCGTATTGCTTTCTCCTCGCTGCGTTCATGTCATGTGTCGCTCTGCACTCGCTATGGAGGAATTTTGCCACTCAGGCTTAACTTTTAAGTAGTCCCCAATGACTTTAAGGCCATGTAAGTCTGCTAAGTGGGTTAAGGTCACTCATCTCAGCTATGGAATTTCAGCTGAAGTTGTTGGTGATGCCCTCAAACCATTTGGCAAAGTTATCCAGGTCAGAATGGACACCTATCATAATGTTTATGTGGGCACATGCAATGTGCTTATGGAAATCACCAAGGCTATTCCATCTCGATTATTAATTGCTGGCCAATGGTGTCATGTTTTTTATATCGGCCAAACTCCAATTTGTTTTACTTGCCACAAAAGTCGGGGCACTCTAGTCGTGATTCCCCTAATAATCGTGTAAATAATGCTCCTGTGGTTAATCAGAATAATGTAGACCCAGGTACTGTCAATACAATTGTTCTTCCAAGTAATCCCGGCCAAAACACTGCTCATGCCAATAAAACCACTTTGCATGCTAGTGAAACCATTTCTACCCCATCTGATCGTGTCGATGTTGCTCCAACTCCTATGCACATGCATCTTGCATCACATATGGTAGACCACCCTTCTGCTGTTGCTCCCGCTGGTGATCCTCCCGTTGAAGGTACACACTCCAAGGCCTATGCTGAAGCAATTAAAGAACCATTGAAGCCCTCCCACAATGCGCCTGAGGCATCTTCTGATGATGATGAAGAGTTTGTTGATGTAGCAGAATTCCCGATGGCAGTTGATCCTGTGTTGCATAAGCGTGACCGTTCTGATAGAGACTCTTCGGATAATTCGGCCAGCCATCTTGATACACGTAGTAAAGCTTTGATCGTTGGTACCGAGACTTCTGGTGATGGTAACTTGAAGGATCTCTTTTCCCCCAACCTTTTTTCATCACTCCACGACGAAGCAGCTGATCTTCCACTTCTGGTCACTGACGATGGATATCGATGCTGCGAGCATCAGTTCTTCTCCCCAACATCCGAAGCCCCCTGGTGGCGATCCATCCACTGTCCCACCGGTACCTTTGGATGATGTGGAAACTCCAATTCCTCCCATTCCTTCCATCGTTCACTCTCCATCTGCTCCTCCTGTCTTTACTGATGACTAGGATGGTGATAATGATTCTGATGATGACAAACGCTTGACATCTGTGCCTCGACTACGGTTATCGCGTTTACTGAAGCAAATTACTTGCCAAGCTAGGTCTCCTTGCATAGTTTGACTAAATATTGTAGTACTGACTTGTTGTGGTCAGGAGCTGCCCCTAGCTTGTAGATAACTTTTCGTTGATTACTTTCTCAAAACACAACTATCATCACCAGGTTTCACCAGACGTTTTTTTAAAACTAATTTGTATACTATACCTTTGATGAAATGAAATAAGTTGATCTTTACAAGTCCCATTAAGTTTTCTTCTCTCCTCTCAACAATGAGCTCTCCGATTGCTCATTCGCCAACTCTTCCAATTGACCGACCCACTAAGGAACGCTTCAGCTGCAGCACATGCAACAAAACCTTTAAGAACATGAAAACCTGCCACGTCCGCCTGATGAGATACAGTCATGAACTCAAGGAAGTCTTGGAAATTTCTGTACCCTTCTTCTTAAACCTACGGAAGCAAGATATCAAGTGCCCTTTGTGTCCTTTCAAGGGAAAACAAGTTAAAACACCCCAAAACTTCATCACTCACTTCTCCCGCCACGGTAGCAGATACAACCTAACAATTGCATACACACTCTGTCTGTATGGAAGTGATGTCCAGCGAAGAAGTATAGGATCACCTTGAGATGCATCGCTCAAACCGTCTCCCTCTGACCCCCATCGCCACTCAACCTTCCAACCAAGATACCCACGACCCACCACCGGCTAGTCCTTCTACAGTAGACACCTCCTCAACCTCCTCCTCTCTGTCATCATCGCTACTGCTGTCCACTCCTCCACCCAAGACTCCTGAATCAGTTAAAAGCCAAACCATACCCAACACCCAGAACCCTATGTCCCTCTGGCTCTTTCCCCACCAAGTTTCTCTCCACCTCCCGAGACCAACGCTGCGGTCATGCGTCATTTTCTTGATGCCTGTTGTAACACATCTCCCCCGACAGTACCTACCTCGCCACAACGTACTTTTACCCCATCAACTTCCTTTCCAGCTATCCCCCACTGATGGCCAATATCATAACCACTCCTACATCCAGCACTCCCAGTACCCGCCAACCAGCACCAACAACGATCAATCACCCGCCAGTATTTCCACGTCCAAGAGCTGCTGACTTTTTCAACCCACCTCCACCTGTCATGGAAGACGTTCCTGAACCTGAACAACCCACTACTCCCCCACCTTGTCCTCAATCACTCCCATCTACTAGCCCACCCAACCAAACCGTGACACCCCCAGACCAGACTCCCATTATCGAAGATCCTTCTACAACTTCCTTCCCCTCTTCCCGAACCACCACGTCGCTGCAAGACTTCCGTCAATGATTTAAGCTTTAGTTTCAAGAAGAAATGGATTTCCATGACTTCGAGAGACTCACCCAACAGTTTACCACTGATGCTGTTAATCTTGCTTGGACTCTGTCTTCCCAGCAACGCCCTTGTCCAGCTCAATGTCACCCTGACCAACTAAGTGCTCATCCTCCCATTGACCGTCGCCGCCCACTCTCTCTCCTTGGATCCTTCTGCTGCCAAGTGCCTTCAGCATCTGTATCGAATTTCCAAGAAATGTGCTGCTCAGAAGATCTTTGGTGACGAAAGCCCAGGATATGATGGAACCATTGATGACGCCACAGAGTACTTCACTCGCACCTTTGGCCCTCGAACCTGTGATACCACCCACCTACTAGAAGAGCTATCATCCTTTGTTCCATCTGTTGATACTGACCACGCTTTGTTTTCCCCACCTTCTCCCGAAGAACTCTCCACCAAACTCCGATCCATGTCAAACTCCGCCCCTGGCAAAGACCGACTAGAATATCACCATCTGCGCCTCCTGGACCCCAAATGCGAAGTTCTTGCTGAGATGTTCCGCCACTGCTTTGTCACTAAAGATGTGCCCTCCGAGTGGAAATCCGCTACGACAATCCTCATCCACAAGAAAGAGGACACCTCTGATGCAAGCAATTTTTGCCCAATCGCTCTCCTGCCTCTACAAACTACTCATGGCTGTGCTGGCAAAACGAATTACCTCTTTCTCCCTCCAATACGACCTCCTCTCCAGTGAACAAACGAGAGCTCACCCAAGTGAAGGCTGTTACGAACACGCTTTTCTCCTGGATTCGATCATCAACGATGCTAGAAGACAACCTCGACCTCTCTGTATCGCCTGGCTGGATGTTCGCAATGCTTTTGGCAGCATCCCCCATTCTGCTCTCTTCGCCAACCTTTCCCACATCGGCGTTCCTCCAGACCTGGTGGAGATGATTGGGAAAATCTACACTGGTGCTACCGCCGAAGTCGTAACTCCCCTCAGCAAGACTCCGTCCATCCCCATCCACTCTGGCGTCAAGCAAGGCTGCCCCCTTAGTGCTATCCTATTCAACCTTTCTGTGGAACTTATTATCCGCAAATGCAATGCCAAGGCCCGAGCCCTCTCCCGCAGACCCCTCAAGCACCATGGAAGGGCCATCTCCATACTCGCTTATGCTGATGACATTGTGTTACTTGCCCGCAACAAGGATTCCCTCCAGTCGCTCCTCGATGTTGTCTCCTCTGCTGCCGACTCCCTCAACCTGCTTTTCCGCCCTGATAAATGTGCGAGTATCTCCATGGCCAGCCGTGCTCCTCATATCCAGGACAATGTGTTCTATGTCCAAGGCCAACCCATCTCTGCCCTTGACCGTGAAGATCATTATCGCTACCTTGGTGTACCAATTGGCCTCATACCAAACACCTTGGCAGAAACTTGATGCTATCCATACCTTTATCCAACCCTGCCTCACCTACGCCCTACGCTCCACTGACCCTACTACAAAATCCCTCCAGGCATACCGCTCCCAACTGATCAAAACCATCCGCTCTGTCTGCTACCTTCCCACCCGCGCCACAACCCACTACATCTTCGCATCCAAACAAGCTGGTGGCCTTGGCTTCACCGACCCAACTCGTGAGAACCACCTGCAAACAATTGTACCAGCCATCAAGATGCTAGGTTCAAGTGACCCCACAATCTCCACCGTTGCCAAATCCGAACTCCGGCAATCTGTTCAGTTTGCAGCTCAATCAGATCCTACTCCCTCACTTATTTCCAATTTTATCTCCAACGCCCCTGATCGTCGCCTCGACTCCATCGGCTCCTGCACCGGTCTCCCTATGGACCCACACCCGCAATGCCACCAAGACCATCAAAATCACTATCAACGTCCCTGACACCGGCTCACCCTCCATCTCTGCTTCTGATTATGCTGACGAAGTTGCCCCGAAAGATGTTTGCTGCTTCCTCCATAACCTTGAACGTGAGAACTCTGCGAAATCCCTTCGTGACCTCCGTTACCAGGGCAAAGTTCCGCGCTCCCTTTCTAATGATAAGTTTGGAAATGGCTCCAAATGGCACTACACAGGCCTCAACATGCGCTTCAAGGACTGGTGATTTATCCATCGTGCTCACCTCAATTGCCTGCCCATCAACGCTGTAAAACATCGCTGGTCTGACACAAGCCCGACCTGTTGCCACTGCGACCAAGATAAAACCCTTCCCCATGTCCTCTGTCATTGAACCCCCAACATGCCAGCAATCACCACCAGGCATAACAAGATAGTCGACCGCCTCACCAACGCTGTTCGTCATGGCACAATCTCCACCGACCAAACCGTTCGAAATAGTGGCTAACCTGTATGCCCCGATATTGCTATTGAGAATAATAACCAAGTTACCATTATTGACGTGTGCTGCCCCTTTAAGAACGGCAAGGAAGCCTGAGAAGAAGCTGTTGCCCACAAAGAGCTTAAGTACCTCCACCTTAAAACGCACTTTGAAGCCCAGAATAAGTCTTGTGATGTATTTGGTTTTGTGATTGGAGCACCTGGGATCCTAGCAATGAACGAGTCCTCTCCGCCCTTGGCATGACACCTCGCTACAAAACCTCTTCCGAAAATTGTGCTGCACTGATGTCATTCAAGGGTCCACAGACATCTATCGCCAATATCTTGGTTGCGACGATGTCCTTCCTTAAATATATTGTTTTTATGTTCACTTTAAGCAGTTTTCCAGTACTCACCTCACACTTATCATTTTTCCGACTAACGGACAAGCGCACTTGATATTTATGATTTGCCAACCCCAGGCAGCAATTTCATGTTTTTATGCATATGACAAGCACAACTAGGACCAAATAAATCAGCTAGGACTCATGAACACTAGGACGCCACCAGGGAAACATAATAGGTACATATGCACAATCAGCAAAACACACAAAGGAATAGCTATGAATGTTTCGGCCCAAATAAAAACTCTGTTCTTATCAGCTTAATATCTGATATGTTAGGCAATGCCTAACTCATGTATTAAACTGATTTTTGGACTTCGGCCATGGGATTGAAGCTTGCTTCGCCCTGGCCACAGGTTGTCTTGGTATTGCACTACATCCGAGTACAGCCCCTTCCCCACTCGGGGAAGAACATTTTTTTGTTTCAAAAACAAATCAAACTAAAGCAATCTCTAGGTTAAACTATTGCACACACTTATTTACACAGGGGTTTTCACATACCGATATATTTAACACCATCCTCAACTACAATACCACATGAATAATTATCACTGCAAGATCGGCTTTCTCATGCACATATATAACATACATATCATATGACTTGTAACACTTTATTATCCTATGTCGATATTTTACACCTTGTGAGCATGTTTTCATTCAACTATGAACCGAATCAACTATATATAATTTTACTAACATACTTTTTCATTCTCTAGATCACGGCACATGACGTTCAAGACAAGAGGGAAACCCCCAAACTACCACAATCGCATCTCATCATCATCGCGTATATAAGGTGAGCGCCGTAAACAACAGCATACTTACCTGACGCGACAGGCACCTTCATCAACTAGGAGGTCCTCTCAGGATGAGGCCCTTTCATTGCACTTCCACTGGGTTGACTCCTGCGATTACCCCAATGTGGGTAACCATCGTATAATTTCTGGTAGTGGGGACCATGCCTCGAACCCTCCCCTTCAACATATATATTCATGTATAAATGTACAAAGCCGTTTTTTTTCTAACACTGCCGTGTGTCGATTGTTTTTGTAGATGTTTTGATTGTCTCGGTATTGCACTACATCTGAGTACATCCCCTTCCCCACTCGGGGAAGAACATTTTTTTATTTCAAAAACAAATCAAACTAAAGCAATCTCTAGGTTAAACTATTACACACACTTGAGTACACAGAGGTTTTCACATGCCGATATATTTAACACCATCCTCAACTACAATACCATGTGAAATAATCAAGGCAAGATCGGCTTTCTCATGCATATATAACATGCATATCATATGACTTGTCACACTTTACTATCCTATGTCGATATTTTACACCTGTGAGCGTGTTTTCATTCAACTATGAACCAAATCAATTGCATATAATTTTACTAACATACTTCTTCATTCTCTAGATCGGCACATGATGTTCAAGACAAGAGAGAAACCCCCGAACTGCCACAATCGCATCTCATCATCATCGCGTATATAGGGTGAGTGGCAGAAACAACAGCATACTTACCTGATGCGAGAGGCACCTTGATCAACTAGGAGGTCCTCTCAGGATGAGGCCCTTTCATTGCACTTCGACTGGGTTGACTCCTGCGATTACCCCTAATGTTGGTAACTCGAGCGTACAATTTCTGGTAGTGGGGACCTGCGTTTGCAACCCTCCCCTTCAACATATATATTCATGTATAAATGTATAAAGCCGTGTTTTGTTTCTAACACGGCCGTGTGTCAATTGTTTTTGTATAGAGTCAGATGTCAAACGTATCATTTGTCACAGAAGGACACACTATATATATATTCTCTGTGCCGAAATCTCCATCTCCTGTTCATATTATATGGTAAGTAAACCTATACACGCTTATATTTTGTAGGCACTTTGAGTCTTTGCACACTATTCAATATAAATTAATTCGCTGTATAAAGCAACTTGCTTGCCAACGGAATTTCAGTCCATCGCATGTACATTCCAAGCGCCGATCAACTGGCTCGCGTATCACTCAAATGCACATGTTTTGCCGGTCAAACATATAGAATACCAAGTAAATATTCGAACATCGCATAATTTCACGGTGCGTGACCCGAAACCTTTCCAGGTCACAATGCATTTTGCGAGTGAAAGAAGCACGGCGCATTCACGAATCTTTAAAGAGCGCGAAAGCCGATACGTTCGCGTCTCGCGCTCGATGCCACACAGCCGCCGTGCCCCTCTGCACGATGGCATGTGTGTGCGCGAGAGAACCACGAGAGTCGTGGTGGGCAATCACCACAGACTTGCCGTGCTCGTGCGACGAGTAATCAGGCGCTTGTCGATGTCATCAGGCGCTTGTCGAGCTCCTCCTCACCGCGTTTTCGTAGCACAAGTGTCCGGTAGAAATATGTATGGCAAACGGCGAAGAAGGCATCACTTCTCGGCCTTTTGGCTAAGATCAAGTGTTTAATTTTTTATCTTATTTTACGTCTATTTTAATAAATTATTATACTAAATTAAAGTTAAAGTTCTGGTGCATATTGTGATAATATTTTCAATTTGGAAATTATTCGTTATTTGAAGTTATCTGCTGGTTTTTATACATTATTGGAGTATTTCACTGTTGCTCTCGCTGTAAAATATATTATTTGGTTTTTCGAATATAACTTTCCATCTGCTGGTCGGATTCAATTCAAATTTGCTGTGTGGATTGTGATACTGTCTCTTGTTATATTGTCATTGTTTGGATTGTTATTTGTGTGTCGTTCGTGAATTATACTGGCTTTTAATTTTCGTCTGTTGGGTTATATTTGAATAAATTATTACGTCAGAGTTTGGATTATTATTGTGATCTTTGTTCGTCTGTTTCTCGTTTATGGTTCATCATTTGTGAAAATTGTCGACGGATTTGAATTTATCTCGCCAGTGGGAACATTTTGATATATTATTTGTGTTATATTGTTGATTATTTCGTGGAATATCAGTACTTTGGTGTTTAGTGTGTGAAGTCAGTGTATCATTGTTTATTTCCCGTCGGAGTTTCGTATTTCGTTTGTAACTTTCGTGCTGTTCATGATATGCACCTACAACTTCACTAATTTATAGTTACCGTGGTTACCTTGATCTCCAGAAGAATTATATCTATAAAGGATTTTGAATTACGGCATTTTTTCTGGATTTCCAACGGTCATTCTACTTAGAATTTCCCGGTTAATTATATATTCAGTTTCCCATTTAAAGCACGTACATGGGGATTCCCCACATTTATTGTCATTCTGTATTCATTAATGGCGTCTGATGTATTATTCTAATTAGACGGTTTCAATTTGTGCGTTATCTGTTACGTATCCTTACTATTTATTTGTTTTGTATGCTTCATCAGCAACAATTGTCTATGGATGATTCCCAACAAGGGTTTATCAAATGCCCAGATTGTGATTTTATATCACTTTCCCAAGGTGGTCTTGGAGTTCACCGCTCTAAGCGCCATAAAATTATAATTCCAGATGATGTTAAGTCCCTGTATGTCGAACGTATTTTTCCCGAAGGGAAACCTGTCTATTGTTGTTTATGTGATGTCACAATTGGTTCAATTGCAAATTTTAGAAGGCACATGAAAAATAATCATGAGAGTATTAAATTATTTGAATCGGCCAAATGTTGTATATGCGGTAAAAAATTCCCGAAGGGTCGTGGCGCGGGCGTCCACCTCCAACGTCATCACAATATAGGATCTAATAATTCATATCCTCATTCTCCTACCCCAGTCATGCCCTTCACCAACAGAGACAATACCAACACCCCTTGGAGTAGGAGTAGATTGAGAAGAAGATCGAATCCAGTATCACCCATGTCCTGCCAAGACCCCAATCATGTGTATGATTCCACGGTAGATAGTTCCACTAATTCTAATGAGGTTATTTCTGATACCGTTCATGCGCAATGCCAATCTTCACCCATTAGTCCCTACCAGTCCCTCAACCCCATCCCTAACCTTCCGTGTTCCACTACCAAAGATCCCATCAACAACAACCCCCATCCGACCCTGATGGTTTTACACCCTGATGAAGATTCACTGGATCCCACACACTCCCCTCCTAGACCCACCATCGCCAATCCCCACCATACCACCTCCCTTCAGCAATCTCCTGAACCACCGGTCGCCTTAAGTGGTTGTACTGATGCGATAAGCGATATTCCGTCCCTGTCACCGATCCCCTCTCATGAAAAGATTCCCTCCCAACTTCCCCAACACCCTCCAGTGATTTCCATAACACCAACCCCTCATCAAACATACCCTGATCCTTCGGTCGCCTTTAGGGTGGTACTGATCGTGATGGTGATTGTGGTCATAATCAGCCCAAACAATCCCTACTACACTCCATCCTCAGCAAATTCAGCATCCCAAAACCCTTTTATCATCCCCCCTCCCCTCTCAGAGTCGTTTCTCACGTCCTCATCAGACATGTCATGCTCTAATAGTAACACCTCATCCAGTCACGCAGATCCTGATCCTTCGGTCGCCTTCAGTGGTGGTACTGATCGTGACGGTGATTGTGGTTCTAATCAGTCATCTAATCCTGTATTAACTAATCCTTCGGTATTATTACCCTTAAACTCAACGCTTAATCGTCAGCTCCTTCCTTCACAACGCCTCAACATAAGAAATCATATCCAGTCGAGTTGGTTAACCTTGATCCTGAGGATGATGATGACGACGATGATGACTTAGAACATTCCAGACCTAGTTCCGCTATATCTCCATCTACATCCTATCCTGATAACACCAACAACACCGTTCAATTCAATGATTATTCATCAATAGACACCGATCCTCCTCTCCCCTCTGACATCCCTGTTAACCCTAGTTCGAATAACACCAATCATTCTGAATTCGCCAACTGCTGGACTAGTCGTATCAAGTCAACCGATTCCTTCGAAGCTTTTTCTTTCCAATGTGAAAAGTTTGCGGAAGTGGTAGTCAAGGAAGCGAAGGTTAAAACATCCAATGCATCCCGGCCCAGACAAAGATCTAATCGGCCCAATAATAGAGATGTTAATAGCAATCGACCAAGAGTTCTCCCCAATCCCATCGCTGCGAGAAGAATTCAAACCCTGTATAGATTGTCTAAGAAAACAGCAGCAAAACAAATATTAAATGACAACAACACTGTCTATTCGGGTACGAATGATCAAGCTAAGGATTACTTTACCAACACTTTCTCTGCTAACCCTATAAACATTGATGAAGTATTGGAGTCGTTAAACCGTCATGTTCCAACTGCTAATGAGGATCCCACTGTTATAGAGCCCATGAGTGAGAAGGTTATTAAGAATAAACTTAAAAGTATGTCCAACTCGGCCCCAGGAAAAGATTGTGTAGAATATCGCCACCTTAGACAGGTTGATTCAGAATGCAAAGTGCTTACATGTATCTTCAACAAATGTTTAAAACAAAAGCAAATACCATCGATTTGGAAAGAGTCTACCACGATCCTGATATATAAGAAAGCGAACAGTGATGACGCAAGTAATTTCCGTCCTATAGCTCTAATGTCTTGTTTATATAAACTTTTCACTGCTATCTTAGCCTCCCGTGCCACCAACTTCGCCATTAATAATAATCTTATGTCGCATCAACAAAAGAGTGCTAGACCGGCTGAAGGTTGCCACGAGCATACATTTACCCTACAATCCATAATAGCAGATTGCAAAAGGAACACGAAAGACTGCTACATTGCATGGCTTGATCTGCGGAATGCTTTTGGTAGTATTAACCATGAAGCTATATTTATTAAATACTCTCCAACTCCTCTAGCTCGTCGAATTTTTGTTGCAACTCTACAAGTCTCTCACATGGATACTGGGGGTAAGCGACCTTTACGTTGTGGTGGCTTGACAGGACCCATGTTTACTTTGGCTTTGAAGGGGCCTGAAGCACCATTGTAGCCTTCAATCTTGGGGTTAAACACAGTATCGAATTGTTTATGAAGATTACCAAACTTAACAAACACATTGGTGGGTAGTAAATGTGCAGGATCAGGACTGATGGAAGTGGAAAAACACTTTTCTTTCAGAGATGGTTGCGGCTTGGTGGGCATAGGAATTGGTCTCGGCTGCTCATCTGCCTTTAATGGATTAAAAACAGAGTTTAGTTGACAAAAGTGCCCATTGCGCTTCAAAGCTAATGGCTGGTCTGAGAGGTTTGGAATGCGTTTCATGCCAGCAACACTGTGATACTTTGGCAAATTGAGCACTTGGGGCAGCAGTGCGAGGTTCAAGAGCATACACGTTGTCGGGGATACCATCCGGCACTGCTATTTCAATAAATTCACCAGGCCAAATAGTGGTAGAGGTTGAAGGAGCTCTGAGAACAACAGCACATCGTACAGCTGGTGACTTGGTTTCGTTTGACCCATATGTGTAGGAAGTGTCACAAATAAGAACTGTGCATCGAGCAGGTCTGACGGATATGTCATTAGCTTCCATGAATGGAGTACCAGCAAGGATCTCAACAACCAATCCCCAATCCAACCAGATTTTCCACAACCAATCCCTCAAAGCACAGCTCATACTTTTCTCTTGTGAATGTTATGCGAGTTTCACCAATGACTTCCAAGGGTGAATGGCTGTCAGCCTGTCGTGCGGATTGGGGAGCTAGCTTTAATATTGGCTCCAAGTCGCTTCACGGTTGATGCACGAATCATATGTTGCAAGTTGCTCCACTATCAATAGTGACACAACGGTGTGATGGAGAAATCTGCATTCGCTAAGAAAGTGGTTGTCAGTGCAACTTGTTTGTTTACATAAGAGACATGACTTCTCACACAGACATGTAGACCCAGGTTATCTCGTTGCTGGTACAGGTAGACGTCTACTAGGGCCTCCCCTGAATGCTTGAGTGCACATAACTTTTGCTTCATCATTTGATGCAATTTCATCAAGCAACAAGCTCATAGCTTTTGAAATTTCAGGCTTTATGGAAGCAAGAGTTTGGGAGCGGAGTTCTGTTCCATAACGCTGTTTGATAAGATTTGGGAGGGTTAAGCATTAAGGCGAAGCCATGTGAGAACAACAAAATTTTCCAAAGTGGGAGAAAGTTCCTCATCTTCTGTAATTTGCTCATTGTGATGTGTGATGTTACCACTAGAACTCAGGAGACTGTCCTTGACAAATGCCATAAGACGTTGATACAGGTCCTCAGGGTGCTCATCAGGTTGTAGCTTGATGTTGTTAAAATCCACATAATGGGCACCAGTAGCTTGAAAACCAAAATGCAGGCGAATAATATTCCATATGAACTCAATTGATATGCTATTTTTCACAATAGTGTTATGAGAGATTATTGGACAATAGTTCGCGATTTGGCCCAACATTAGCTCTAGCATGTTAAGAGGCTGTCTGTAAAAACAGGGCACCCAGTTCTGGAAGGAAATATCAAAGTCTTCAAATTTTTCACAATAATTTTCCTTTCAGGTACTTGTATGAAAAAAGAAATCGGTTTGCGTTAAAAAGGTTTTTTGTAAAATTTGGCCCATCGATATTTTACACCTTGACGGGTCCAAAATGGCGGCCTGAAACTGCCGTAAATAGCAGATTTTCGTACGACTCTCGCGAAGCAAGTAGGTAGGTGAGAGTCTTATGTATCAAAATATTTTAACAATCAGTGGTTATAGTTTCTTGCAACAAAAAATCAGGAACATCTATCCAGGATTTGAGGAGAAATAATTTTCTGAAAAGATACACTTTTACTAGTTTGCAAAGTCGCACATTATAAGACAAATTAAATAGCAATTTTCATAAGTTTGGCACCTTATACCAAGTACACATTACTACCATTGTGAACCTAGAGTTGTGTTTTTTTAACGGGAAACGTAAAATATTTGGGCACTTGACGGGCATAGCCACAAATCATCTACAAAGTTTGATAATTTTCCTGTAATTGACGAGTGACGACGCATGCGTTGCTAACATAATTTTTCTTAAAAACTCTCACCCAGCAACATTGCTGGAAAAAATAACTTAAAAGTCAACTTTTATTTTGCTTTTGTTTATTAAACCTTTCGCAATTAATACGCAAATATTTTTTCTGTCGCGCTTGGTCATTTATTTTTGTATTTATTTTTACTGGTGGTTCCATGTTCATTGCAGGGGGCGTGCTCAAGTTATGAATATCTTGAATCGAAATATCGATCGGCGAATACAGGCATTTGTTTAAACTGTAAAACCTATAACAATCTTTTAATATATCCTTTCATAAACAAAGATTACAATTCTGCAAATAAGTTGCTATACAGGGTGTATCAAAAAAAGTAAGACAATTTTGAAATTGCTCTCAATTCCACAATTCTGTTCATGAAATGTAATTTTTGCTATATATGGATTGCTTCAGTTCTTAAATTATGGAAAATATAGTAAATTTTACTATCCAGGTGGGTGGCCAACTTTTGCTCCCCTAAAAGTGGCTTGCGCACGGAAATAACAAACGGTATTCTTTATTTGAGTTCATGTATGAAAAATTCGCTATTTGGTGCATTTATGATAAAATTTCGGCAGGATTTTACCGAGTACAAATCCTCCGAAAAGCCTATGAGAATGTTACATTTTTCTCCGTTGGTGCTGTTCTTGCTTCATTATGAATTCATATTTACTCCCATGAAAGTTCCATGGAATTTCGATGGAATTTGTGCTGTCGAGTTGTTTGTGCTGAAACGCATTTTCTCGTATAATACCCCGTACACTTTGAAATGGAGATGCCACAATTTATCCCGCAGCAGAGAGCTTTTATGGTATCAGAGTTCCTCCGAAGCAACAACATAAACTTGGTTCCCCAAAATTTCACGAAAGAATATCCAGATGTACGATGCCCTTCACGTGCGAATG